TTTTATTTTCACATGTGCTTAAGATTCACGGAGCTTTGGAATGGGGCCAGTTGACTCTAATCAACAACCTTTAACATTTTAAGTCCAGATTGGAATCATTCATTTGATCGTTGCCTAAAATAACAAGCCCTACAACAACGACAACAAAGACTCTAGATAGCAAACTTGCACTTAGGAGCAACCAAAATATCTTAAAATCCTCTTTGAAAGCTGGCCTCACTATGCACAAAATCAAAAGCATTCAGGCAGATTCGAACTTCTTATATGGAACTGCAAGGTCAAAAATATCTTTGCATGCTCGTGACAACTCGTATTTTGCAACAGCTCAGGACTTCCTGCGGTAAATGGTGCTTTTCATACCATTAATGTTCAAGTCCATATCTGAGAGGCAGGAAAGAGGGACACGTCCCTGGCTGACAGTGCGCAGCGGACAGAGGGATAGGGTGGCAGTCCGGAGAGGCAGAAACGTGCGGGATGAGCACGAAGGGCAGGTGCGAGCGGGGACGGGGGACACCTCTGCTTGGTGTCCTTGTTCGGCAAGGCGGGCCTCAGAGATCAGAGACTGATCCGTGCGTCCCGCATCCAACCGCCTGGCAATTCCCGAGCCTAAACAAAGTGAGATAGGGAAGCCTGACATTAGATGTAGGTATCAAAACACAAATCATCTGCTCTCAAGCCTGGAACGAGCCTCCTCCTATCCTTGAGAGAGTTTCGTTGTTCTTGTTCGGGTAGGGAGAAGATAACACTTCAGATTAAACTGAATCCTTTAGAAGCACCACTAATCCTAGAGAGCAAATGTGAGATTTCAAGATTTTATTTCAACACGGTAAAAAAAAAAAAAAGCCTTAAGTAAAGGTCTCTTAAAGTTTATGTACTAATAAACTCTTGATTTGGGCACTGCCAGAATTGCAAGGATTACGGCTTATAGTATTAACTTTAACTACAATGTACATATGGGCTTAGAAACAGTAAAAGCAGTAGCTGTCCGATTTAATACCGCTATAGCATTTTGCTCTATTTTATATGGTTTGCAGCAAATCTTGAGTATTTGAGAAGCAACATAAACGTTATGTTGAGATGACTATTCTAATGTTCAAACGGGATAAAATAGATTCTCCACTATTGAAGAATAGCACCGGATTCAGCAGTCAACATTAGAAAATACACCAAATTGGATCTCATATAAATTCTGCCAACAAGGCTGCAGTGAGCAGCACACCCCAAAATCTCTTGGAAGACGTACAGAGAGTTTGACGTCTGCATTTTAATACCAATCCCAAGGCTTTGCTGTATAGCACAGCTCCGCAAGGCAGCAGGAACGGGGCGTTTTGCCATAAGGAGGCAGCAGCCCTGGTTGCCCGCTCTGCCTGGCCAGCACCAGGAACGACCTGGCAGCAAACGCAGTTGCCTTCCCTCCAGCCTTCGCGTCCCGCATCTCCAGCACAGCACAGCCCGCCCCGGATGGACCAAAACCAAAGGAACCCCCACAGGGGTTAGTGTCTTTGCCAAGAGCCTTCAGCTGCCCTGGCGGCCCGCGGGGACAACTCAGAACAACAGGGCTGCCTCCCGAGCCCTCTGCGCGGCCTCCTGGCCAAGTCACACAGTGTAATAGCAGAGGAGGATGCTGCCCACGCGCTTCAGAGGCGCGTGGGGTTGCTGGGAACGGCTGCGACGAAGACGGCGCTGTCCAAACTCGAGTCCTTGCAAGATATTTTAAACACGAGACAATAGAGAAGTTCTCCACTTTTACAAAACGCTCCATCACTTCCAGCGTTTCTAGCATGCCGCATGCACATCTAAATGCGCCGTGTAACAAAGCGGTGCCTTTTCTGTAACGAGTTTTTGCCATTTCCAGGCAAGCCCTGCAGGCCTCGCTCCGGCGCGCGCAGCACCACACCGGCTGCCACCGC